TGCGAAGAGAAAAATTTTCTTTGCTAACTTTGTTCTTTACCGCTAACTTTTTTTCGTTTTTGTAAAATTGTTCGTCTTGAAATCACAATTCTTCCCTTCTTACTCTCCATTTAATTTTCATTGTTATCACTGATAACTTAGAGTTCGATATAATATCATGTTATTATTAATATTTTCTTTTTCTTTTTACATGTTTATCATTCTATTTGTAAGATATAAAATATATTTGGTTCTACGGAAAAGATTTTTATTCTGGCCAAAATTGTGAAGATTCTTTTATCTCGTTTGATAATAGATTCATTGTTATCTAATTGACATACTACGTTTTTTAGAATCCAAGAATACTTTCAACGAGAAAAGAATCAATCTCGCATTTAGTCGCGACTGGATCGCACATTATTTTTCGAACTTTTCGCGAGAACTTCTTTGTTTTCGTTTTCTCGCTGCGTTGCAAAGTCGGCCGATGCCGATGGAGGAGTAGCGTGAAAAGAATAGAACGATGGCGCGAGAAATAGAACGACAAAGTTTGGTCGACCCGCGCGGAGCTTCGTTTTATTAAAAAATTTTATTTTTCTTCCCATCGCGCGCGAGAGATTTCTCGGTACCCGTTATCGCCGCGCTGGCGGTTAATACCGGAAACGGGGTTTAATGGAATTACAGCGTGTTTTATATGCGCGCCAGCATTTTCGCGCGAGAAATTCGCGGAACAACGAAAAGCGTACAAAAGGGAGAAAGGGGGAAGCGAGAACGAAATTTCACGCGCCACAGCGCGACGTGTTTGCGTAATATTTGCATGATATATTTCCGATGCGCATGCCCGTCGCGAGATCCGATAAGTTTTATGCAAATCGGACATCATTGTCGGTTGCGCTCGATAAATAAATCGACGAAGAAATCGCATCTTGTAAAGTAGTTTTCATAGAAGTGGAACGAGGGCACGTTTATTTTCGCGGATCTCGCGTTCTGTCTAAAGATGTGCTGACCTGATATATGGAAATATCGCGCGAAAATCGGAATAAAGATAGGACGAAAATGTGTAGAGATTTCTTCGTCGCAACGAACATTCCGCAAAGCGCAATTACACCTTTGCCCGAAGTAATTATATATATGTCCACAAATGAGTAAGCATTCAACGATGTTAAGCATACAAATGTGAGCATAAATTGGCGTAACTGGGCAAGATCTTTTTGTGTAAACACCGGTAAATGTAAGAATACATATACTGAGTAATTTATAGAATTATTATGGTCGAAAGAAATTATTCTCTGACATTTCTATTCTATTCTACATATATTCCACATCTGTATATCTTGCCGTGAACAAAACCAAGGGAAGATTTCACGTGAAATCAGAGAAGGAGCAGAATTTCTGGCAGCGAAGTAAGATATAGCAAGACTCGCATTCTTGAAAAAACAACGTCGTTAGTCCATTAACCATTTCTCTTTTTGCTGTTCTATAGATATCGACTATTTGCTCTTCCACTTAGATGGTAAAAATATATTACATCGATTGCGCACAATAACATTTTCAAAGAAATCTTAAGCTTAAATTGTTAGATTAATCTTGTTTTCTCGCGGATCATTATTTTATTTCCAAATTTTGCGAACTAAGCATACGTATTGTAATTTCTAAATCTAGTGGTCATTATTAGGATTTTTTAAAGACCGAATAAAAAGAGTTTACTTGTTTACGAATTATATATATATATATATAAGGCTTCTTATATTATGATTAAAAATAAATTTTATTTCAAAGAACGCAGTATACATGTTAAATTTAATGTGGAAAATATATTACATATATAAATTAATTAATTCATAAAATCTTAATTAAAAATGAAGGAGCAAAAGTGCGCGCTTGTATTTACAATGCCTGTGATTGTAATCTAAACGAAAAAGCCACGTAAAATATATAGCTTATGTATGAAAATTTACACAAATATTTTTGTCGCTCTACGGAGTCTAGATTTATATGTAAATTCGGATTTTTCTTTATCAATAAACGCGACTATCTTGATAAACGTTACATCCTCCTAGTTATTATCCAATTCTACCAAAGGCGAGCGAAACTTGCTATCAAAGAGCCGTCATCCGATCGTTCATTTCCGCTTCAATCGTCATTTACATCACGTTGGCTTCGCGAATCTGGCGAAAATCGGGGTTAATACCGACCATTAGACATGCGCGTCCGCGAGGGAACTAACAGGGGACATCGCATCCGGCATCATCCCGCTTATGGGTCATCGCGACGTGATACCGAGCTGTGCTAGTTGTTGGGAAGAACGCGATAGAAACAACGATGGGTCTGGCGGGCGACAGGAGGGGGTTCCGAGGACGAAGGGCGAGTAATTCGCCACCTTCCGTTTCATTACAGCTGCTTTGCCAGAGATACAACCGCACGGCACGCAATCGCGCGATCAATCTTGCCGTTGGTATTCGTCAGAGCCACGGGCGTGCTTGGCAAAATCGCATCCTATTACGCGCACGTAGATCATGCGTCATTAAGGTATCGCCGTGCTTAAACGCAGTCGGTGGACCGATCGCAGGATGCGGTGTCTTGAAACTTGGTGTATAAAGAGGAAAGCAGAAAAGAAATTATATATAAGAAATTATATATAAGATATCTTTATGATTTTATATATGCGTGTGTGTTATATTGCATCGTATATTTATTCGAATTTATTTTTATATTTATATTGATATTACGTAATTCGTATTCTATATTTATCGAAAACATTGTTTTATCTGTGTTTATCTCTTTATTCAAATAATAATGAGCGTATCGATTCTCTTGATAAACCGTGTACGAAGAGATTGATAATATTGATCCGCTTCACAATTAATTATTTGATGGTATTAAGTTACCAATTAATTAGAAATAGATTTAATGAAAGTACTTTATAATTGATGCGCGGCAGAGAACGCGAGCAAACTTTAATAAGAGTTTGTAAATTTTCATGCGGTGTCTTGAAACTTGGTGTATAAAGAGGAAAGCAGAAAAGAAAATTGTGCGAAATTATATATAAGATATCTTTATGATTTTATATATGCGTGTGTGTTATATTGCATCGTATATTTATTCGAATTTATTTTTATATTTATATTGATATTACGTAATTCGTATTCTATATTTATCGAAAACATTGTTTTATCTGTGTTTATCTCTTTATTCAAATAATAATGAGCGTATCGATTCTCTTGATAAACCGTGTACGAAGAGATTGATAATATTGATCCGCTTCACAATTAATTATTTGATGGTATTAAGTTACCAATTAATTAGAAATAGATTTAATGAAAGTACTTTATAATTGATGCGCGGCAGAGAACGCGAGCAAACTTTAATAAGAGTTTGTAAATTTTCGCGTAATCTCTCGTCTAATATAAAGGGAAAAATTTTGTGACTCGTACAAACGCATATTTTTGAGTCCGTGAAATGTGATTTGATTTTAAAGCACATCTCTATGCGCATAATCTCGTAAAAAGTGCGCCATAAATCATGCCCTAAGTACCAAACTTTGCTCGTCTCGCCTTATTCATCTCCCAGCGGTAACAAAATCGAAGAGTATACACGCGCGTCTTGAAAGAAAATTGCAATCTCAGGTTTTATAAGATGATGGAAAATGCGCTGTCGATAGTTTGCGTCCGTTCGACCAGAGCCAAAATCTCCTTGTTACATAATTCCCGCGGCCAATTAGGGACAGACTTAGTATCTCTTCGACTGTAAAATCTATTTTCCATTCGTATTATATATTCTTCATTTGCTTGCGAGAGAAGACTGGCTTTAAATATATGTATATTTATATAGATAATATATCTATCTTATCTATATAAATATATCTATATTTATATAGATAAACTTATATAGATAATAAAGATATAATAATAGAAACGAGCACATTTATATGGTATTATCTATATTCCGGGTAAAAAATATTTTGTATCTATAAGTAATTGCACAAGTACAAATATATTATATAATATAACAATTTATTTATCAATTATTTTCATTTTGATTTGAAAATTTAACAATAAATTATTGTTTCTAACATTATATTATCATTTTTGTTAATAATTTAGTTGCACTTCAAAATTTATCGGTTTTCTGTATTAAAATTTATAAATTTCTTTTATATTTTTTTTACAACATGTATAAGCATTGTATATGGGAATATCATTATCTCGTTTTAATACACGAATAATTTACCAGAGGCAGAAAAATCATCTCTTCCAAAAAAGAATTTTATAGCAAAATTTTTGTTCGCAAAAAGAATGAATTTGTGGCATACGGGGCGATCTTTTTGAGTTTAAAAAACTTAGTAGCAATCAATCAACCACGCCCAGCGATTATTACTGCAACTTTGTTGTTGTGGAGAATAAAAACAAACGTTTTAATTACATAGCTGTGCAAAAACTGTTCATTAAATTGCTTAATTCAATTTAAATTGATATTAATATTTTTACGGTCTTATCACGCACGCTATATTATCCATATTAAATTACACAATTCTCTCTGAAAAATAAATATAAGAGTTACTAATATATAAGTTACAATTTATATGCAATTATAAATTTATATTATTTATATAAATAATAATAATAATAATTCTTTACGATGAAATATATTCTTCGTATAATTGCGTTCTTAGCTAGCAAACTATTAACGGTGACAGGGTATATTTTCGGCTTAATTCAAATAACCGTCTGTCCCATACATGTATATACGTATATATACATGCATATATGTATACACATGTGCTCCTTTAACGTGTTACGCAAAGTAATTGTGAATGTCGTTAAATACTCTATTAATTATCTTCGCCGGTCGTGCGATAAATGCGGCAGCTTTATCGTTGAGAGCTCTTGGCGCCGGTAATGAATCGAAGAACGCCGCTATAATTGCAAAATAAAATGTTGCATAGATGTTTTTTTTTCTTCGTTAAGATAGGATGCGAAATACAATGTAATGTATGGTGTTTTTTTTTTTTTTGTTTGTTCCAGTGTGCGTACAATGGCCCGAGGGTAGGTGCTTCCATGATGTGCCAGAGCCGGCACTGCTGAATCTCTACTTCGAGTTCCGTGAAAACTGTCACGGCTTCTCCTGAAGGCAACGACCAATCAGGCAACGACAATGACGACAATGAGACACACGGCCCTCGCGCTCCTCGTCGAGCGTGCGGATCATCAGTACACTTGAATATCGCGCGAAAAACACTTTTGAGAGATAACGTATTTATTTCAAAGTCTTTCCAACAGCCGCCACACACCACGACCAAGCCAAAACGAATAACCACGTATAGCCACACAGAGAAGGGACCAAGGGTCCCCTGTTTTTCGTTTACATTGATACATTTTGTCTCGCGCGAATTTTAGAGACGCGTCGTCGAATGGACGGAGTCGACGGAAGAAAAATGATTTCTCGCGGAAAGATAATAGCGTGAAGATATCGATTTGCAACAAAGCTATTTCTATACAAAACTAATCGCATTTTTATTTGGTTGACGAAATTAATTCCGTATATAAATTACGTAATTACGTATGAGTATTAAATGATACAGAAATATTTTCTTTTTTTTCTGTTAGTAGAGAGATCTAAATATGATCAAATTTTTTCTTAGATAAATAAGTAACAACGGATATAAATTATATTAATTAATGATAATTATATCATACAAGAAAATATTTTCGTGCGATTTTTTTGTAAATTACGGATACAAAAAAATTATTCAATCTACCGCCGTTTCGGTTCATTCGAATCGCGTCTCCGCGTGAAAGCGACACGAAGCAAAGCGTGGTGCTCGTGTATCGTTTCTGGTCATTGTGATGGATCTCGGATGACACAGGTCTAACACTGACCCTAAATGGGTGCTCAGCAAAATTCTCGCTGAGCATGTGAAAACGGGATCTTTCGCGTCCCTTCTTTATAGGGTTCTCGATGATCCCAGCAGAAGCAAGGTGGGTGATCCAGAATATTTATTTACCTACAACTAATTGCTCGTCGTTCAGCCAGCTCGGGATTAAAGACTGTCTCTCCTGTTACGTATACATTTTTATGTATCTTTTTTTTTATTGTACTTGTTTTCTTTTATCTGGGAGAGAAATACCATGCTCAGCCCTTCCTAAGTTTCTCTCGCACAACCAATTATTTTTGTTGTTCCTTTCGAGCCGAAGCGAAGTTGTTCCCCTTGTTTTATCATCGTCTTTGTGGTAAGAAAGCTACGAGGGGTAATAGTAGCTTTTGCACTCACGAGGAGAAAAGTGCGTTAACAAAGCACTCGGGACCAAAATAAAGTTACGATAATGGAAGAGAAGCACGTTTCATAAAAAAAATTAAACAGCAGAGCATACTAAATAAAAATATCATTGTCGTTTTATAAAAAATATTTTGATACGATTATATATTTATCGTGAAGTCTATCATTATTGAAAATTAAGTACAATTTAATATTAAATTATTTATATCAAATTGCATTAAACTCTGATATTACGTTTTGTAACACGCGTTATTCTCCACGTGAAACAACGTTCAGAGCAGAAGCATTTAATCGTCTTAAAATCGGCCATGAAGCGCGTAAGTTTTGAATTAACGATGCGATAATTTAGGAATCGATAATTAGAATCCAGAGGAAAACTAATTGCGAGATGTTGCATTGTTTCGAAATTTATAATTCAGTCGAGAATTTGATTCACGAGATAATACTTTTACATTATATTTCGGATTCCTTTGATTTTCTATACATTTTTACAAAGAGCAAAAATTGAAAAAAATAGTTTTATTTAGCCTCAAAAGCATTTTTATGTTTTTTTATAACAAAATTTATCGAAATACTCTGCTTTTTCGATATTGGAATTTGCATTTCTCGTTTTGAGCATGTATTTTTACCGATCCGGCTACAAAAGTTCTTATTTAAAAATGTGCTACTATTTTTGATCTATTAAAATAGCAACAGCGTAACATATTGCAAAATATTTTTTTTCTTTTTTTTTTTTTTTTTTTTTTTTGTAGGTATATTGATTTGATAGTTTGCTATATTTTTCTTCAATACAGATATTACGTATATATATATACAAACGTAAATGGCAAAGCCTAATGGCAAGAAAAACACTCGATAATATCGTAAAAACTTGTAGATTTAGATTTAACGAAACGACTACAGGGTATAAAGTATTAATGATAGATAATTATATAAGCTTTTTTATACATGTACGAATTTCTGATCGAGACTGCAGAGGCAAATACCGATTTATCGGCATCATTTATTATTTTCGCGAAGTCTAATGATATTCGATAAACACCGATTATTTTATTGTCGATTATTAAAGCAACGCGGAGAATACTATGAGGATATAAATAAGTTAAATGTGCCAAAACAAATACAGGGTATTGATTTTAGTGATCATGTGAGCGTTACCTTAGAGATATATATTTCGTATAATTAGCGTACGCTAGATTATTTACATTTACATAGGACAGAAGAGATACGGCTGCACTTTAAATGCCGTTTAGAAGACATAACGTAGAATTAAATTCACGTGATTCTGCAAGTGTATAGCGCATCCAGTCATCGTTCTTCCCGCTATCTATTTTTATACTCACGTGATTTTTATACCCGCGAACGACCGCTTTTTTGCCGTGCTTGGTAAAATGTATACTCGCAGGATCCACGTAAGAGGACGTAGAACAGTATTACGCAACCGCATGACTGTACTCTATTACAGGGTTAACCGACATTCCAAAGATCGTGACATCGATTATTCGCCAAACGAGTAAACTGGGGTAATTTGCTATAAAATAGCCGTAGATATGTGGAATGACGTGATTTATATTTTGCTTCTATTGATCCATTGATCAATGTGCCATAATGCCCCACTTTACAAATGTAGAAAGTAGATTTTTACTCAGACAGATTGATAGATTAAGACACACGACACATTAGTGCATAGCGACTAGCCTATATAGTTAAATGAAAATATTTATGTTTGAGCGATTAAATGTTTTAAAATCGCGTAAAGACGCGTAGAAGTATATATTTGTGGAAACAAAAAATTAGAATTCAGAAATAAGACGAGAAAAGAGACAAACAACAAAAATGGACGTATTAATATGAAACGAGGAACGTGACAAGTACGTGATAAGTAGAAGAAAATAGTTGTTTTTCGCAAAACAAACGGGTAAATTTTATACACGAATAAATGTAACCATTCCTATATATCAATGAAATATGATAGTTTCAATTTTGCATCAAGCTCGATGATACTTACGGAAAATCAAAAAATCATTCAAAAATTATAAAATATTAACTATTTTTATAACTTTTAAACTATAGATATAAAATATTACAAGTATTTGCATCTTTTTAATTTACATAAATTTAACATATATGATAGATTCTGTGAATATTATTTTATTTTTCATATAACTGAAATTTTAATTTGAGAGATTGAATATATACAAATTTCAATATTAATGCTTCGAGAAGAACTGTATCATCGAGGCTTGGAGCAAAACGAATAGCAACAAAGCAAATCGTTAATCGATACAAGAGCAACTTGCTCTTGTCACTGTTCACCGAAACAAATCTGCGCGACGCACAAGCGGATCGATTTGTCACATCTCAGTCAATAAAGAGAAATCTTTACTTTCCGTACATCGTCGACGAGTTAATCGAAAACCGATTCTCACGATTGCACGATCATGCATGTGTCTGTCATTCGTCAGAGAAAATTAGAGAATAAGCAGATACGAATTATTTAAGAGATACCAGTTAATATTTAATACACATAATATATACAAAATTATATAAAAATAATACTATAATAGAAATAGCTAACTTTTAATTAAATAAAAAATTTATCAAATAGGTTTATTTGATTGTATAACATTGCGTAAACAAATACAGCCTTAGGGATAGTTTGAAGAATAAGTGAAAAAATGGATGTAATTTTACAATTTTATCTGCCTTTCTCTCTAGTTCTCTCTTTCTAATTTAACTACACGATCATTCCGTCGACGTGTTCATTCCGCGCACTTTCCGATCTTCTCGCAAAAGCATCTCGCCTCTGAACTTTCCGTTGCGAATAGTCGGGATATTTCCGTCGACGCGCTCTGTTCTCTATTTATTCATCGAAACGTCGTCGTTCGGTACTCTTCACGAATCCGTTCTTGAAAATCATGCTCGTGGAAATATTGAAATCGTCATGCTTCGACTTGCTTCCTTCTGCTTCGTCCTTTTTCGTCCCGAACAGTTCGCGTGTTAGTCATGTCAAGAAAGAATTTTTCGTTTTTATTTTTCTTGAAATTCGCTCGAATGTGCACAATTGTGGACGTCAATTTAGCAATGGGATAACGAAAAAGAGGGACATAGCAAAAAGAGAATGAATCCGAAGGAAAGCCAGAAGCCGAAGTATCCTTCCTCTTTTCCTAGATCGCTCCGTTCCTCTGTCTCTTTATCTATCCCAATATCGCACTTCCCGCGACGATATTACTACTCTGCTCCGTAGTTCCCGGAACATTCCGCGTTCTCTAACAATTTTCATTCCATTTTATATCGCTTTCCTACGTCCTGTCTTTTTCTTTCCTGTTACCCAACCGGTCCGGTTCTTTCCTCCAATTTTACGCCGTGTCAGAATTCTTTTACTTGACTCGCGCTGTCGCGGTCGCGTCGGAAACGTGCGAAGAAAATTGATATTGCCGGTGGGAAAAAGTTTGTTTCTCTCGATGTAGAAGATTTTATTGCCTTTGTGACGTTTATTACGTATGAGTTTCTGAGCGCAAATTGAGTAAATTTTGACCACTCTTAACGAATCTACAGGCAACAACATTCTCGAAACTTGCAAATTGTTGCAAAACGTGAAAATTGCAAAATACAAGTGGATACGAAGTCTAGAATTGCTCGAGTTCTATATCACATTATTCTTACGATAAATTTTCCACGGAATGTCTAGAACCGCCAAACGAGCTTTCTATTTTACCCGCGAATCCATTTTACACACACACACGTGTCGATACCTTAAAGCTAAAA